AATAGTTGGGAATCGCATTATTGTTGTAGCTGTCATGGTAGCAACACTACTACAACTACTTACAACCAATCCAATAGTTGGGAATTGCATCATTGTTGTGGCTGTCATGGTAGCAACACTACTACAACTACTTACAACCATAGCAACACTACTACAACTACTTACAACCAATGCAATAGTTGGGAATCGCATCATTGTTGTAGCAACACTACTACAACTACTTACAACCATAGCAACACTACTACAACTATTTACCACCAAGATAGGCTGGCCATTGTGATAGTGATACTATCGCAGTCGCTTGCGACCGTCGAATGGTTATTGCACACAAGTAGTTGTGCATGAGACCGCTTATGACTATCGTACACTACGATACTTTTGTTGCGTACAATAGCACTTGTATGCAATCGTTGCTAGCGATTGGGTTGATGACCACGAACGACCATCACCCTCAACAATATTGGATCTCTAAGATACACTTAAACTAGACGAAGACCTATAATCGAATTAAACTGAAGACTGATGAAATAATCAAAATGAATTTATAAGAACTTTAATAAAGCTATAAGATACACGGCTGTGGCAACACTGCATTTTAACTAGACGGAAACCTATAATCGTCCAAGCATTAAATTATCAGTTGTCATTCGTCAGTAGGTGACACATCAGTTTCCTCCAGCAGAAAAGGCAAAAAAGGAAACAAAGAAAATATCAAAAAAAAGATAATTTTCATCCTTTTACTCGTAACCTACATAATTTTCAACTTATTTGTACCGGATTATTCACATGAAGCAAACAAACTAGCATAGCTTAAGGTCCAATAATGGCCAGCATATCTTTAAGCTGCTTTGCAAGTAGTATGCCCTAGATAAGACCATCAGAAGGTGTTTTGCACTCAGTAACACCACATTCACCAACAATCACAAATCACACTTATATAGCAACACGATTCAGGTGCTACTAAAACAGAGAGAGATTATTACCCATTGATCTTTTTTGGTAGATGATGTAGTTATCCTGTCATTGCCCTCTTTCTCATTAAACTCTATCTAATCACTCTAGTTTTCCCTATTCCCACATATTAACTTGGTATGGACAAAAGTTCTCCACTTAACCAAAATTCTTTTGTTATCTGCATTTTACTCATAACAGAAAGCTCTCCTCTGCTGCGCTTCCATTACAGCAGCACAAAATCTGTTTGTTTTGAGATGGATGGATGACTATGGTAGCATGTCTAGCAGCAATACACATAAGATGAAAATATAGGCAAGAATGGAAGGGTTCCAGCACTATGCATTTGCCTCGGGGGTTTCAAATGATGGCCTATATCTTGCAGTTGCAGTTCATAAAATGCCATTCCACAAGTTTAATACATTGAAGCAAACCTCACATGGAGACATACCAACCATCAGTGGCAACCACAATGAGATGTCATTCTACTTGGAACTAACTAGAAAGTTGCTCCTAAAACCAGCATCCTCTGGATGTCTGTGGTTTGTTTTGCCTCTAATTCATTTTTCATTCTACAAATTTTAACTCAAGTTCAATAATATAAAATCATGGTATACATTCAATCAACTAACCTAGATGGATAATTGTGACACCTCTTATCTGGATCCATCTAGGTTAGTTTAGACAATTAATTTCTGCAACAGGATTTCAGCTACAAGAAACTTTCAAATACTGCTCTAAAAAAGTACAAAAGAAAGAAACAGCCATTGTTAATGATGATGGAGCATTTTTGACACATTGCAAATGAAGGAAGCCCACCAAAACAAATTGATGCAATCAACATGACAAGATATAGTGTTAAAAGGTGGTAAGCCAGCAGGAATACCAATAGATACATTCCAAATTTAATAAGT